TATTACCTATTGCTATATCCTTTGTGATCTCATTTGTCTTATCTAATTTATTTTTTGATGATCGGCTGAATATCTCTAAGATATTATATTCTCCCTGTATTTTTTTCTGGGCTTCTTTGTGTGTATGTATAACATTAGACCTGAAGTGACGGCAGTGAAGGCGAAATCACCTATTAAAATTGGGAACCTTTGAAAAATTAGCCCACAACCCAAACTCTTTCCACTGTTCAGGTGTCAAATTTGAAGAGCCTTTATTAAAGATCTCAAACTCCAGCAGAGTCATATAATGTATCAGTATTTCAGAGTAGTCAATAGATGTTAGTTGAATTATTTGAGGTGGCAAAGAAGGAGTAAATAGTCTCTGTTGCCTTCTTTCTAAAAACTTTTTAATGAAAGTAAATTTTGGATTTATCAAAGTATAAGGTTGTGAAGTTTTAGCTAATTTAAGATCACTAGAAAAAAAGTCTTCAGATATCTATTAGATACGGATATATTCACAAGCCTCATCTTTGGTCGACTGGCAGGTTTCTGATTAGGTTTTATGCTAAAGAATATATATTTAAAAAACACCTCATGAGATGATATATTTTATTAAGTTAAAAATATTTTAAGGTAGATACATTCAAATCACTTCTCATCTTGTAGCTTAGCGTTAAACAAGAAGCTCGTTCGGTCTTTCTCTCCTCGCAACAAGATAATCATGATTTGACAATCGTGCCCTCAATAATAGTAGAGCATAATAATAATAATGAAGAGGGAATACTCAGATCCCAGGCCCGCCTCGAAAGACGAAAAGTACCCCTAAGAAGACTATATTATAAAACCAAATATTATAAACTTACTTTTAGTAGATCGTAGAAAATATTTTCTCTTATATCAGCTTGGTTAACTATAATATTGGAATCGACCTCCTCATTGATGATTGAGCTATCGGACCTTTCAATTTTTGCTTTTTTTGTAGCATGTAGATCCTTTTTGCAAAGATTCCTTTTGAAGGCCTTCGATAAAATATTTGGTGATGACATAGTGATATTACGATAAGTAATAAAAAGTAAAAAAATAAAGGAGATTTCTTGAAAATAAGCAGAACTTTGTAGTGAAGATAATCCTTTTATTAGCGTGAGCTAGTACATTTGTCTATAAATTAAGGCCTATTTTTATTAGTTCTGTACATAATAATTTGAC